AGATTTCCTGACCCTCAGAAACTGTGTGCTATTATAAACGCCTGTTACGTTAAGCCAGTACATTTGGGATATTGTTTTACACAGACAATATGTAAGTAATTCAAAATATGAAAATATGTCAAACTCTGAATCAGAACACAATTGCGTAGAAATGGTATTAAGTGTGATGGTTCCTGTGGGTCATTTCTGCCCTCTTATATCCTAGAGTGATAATACCCTTAAGGCCTCTACTTCCTTCCCCTCCCTGAAAATTTTGCTTAGGGCATGACCTTCCACAAAGCTTATCACAGTGCTTTGCTTTTCAGTGGCTTTATTTATGGGGTCCAGTGTGCTTGGCAGCTTTGAATATCAGTTCTCTGGACAGGAGAGACCCTGGGGCTTAAAGGACCTCTCACTGTGTAGCACATGGTGGTTGCTGGGCCTTTGACTTTGTGTTCATGTGCATGAAGAATTATAATTGTTTGGGGCAATATGGGACAGAAACTGTTTACTAAAGAAGCAACAGTAACCAGGATCCCAACCCCACCCACTGCCCTCTCCCGTTGCTGTTTTGGGATCCTATGTTGGTCCTGACACATGTGAGCTGTCACAAAGAGTGAAGCAACACCTTATAGATGGGGGAGGCAGTGCTCTGAAGATGACAAACATTTCCTGGGCTGGATACAGGAGACAAAGGATCTAAGACAGGGAAGTAGGTTTTAGGCAAGGACATAGGAGCATCAGCTGAAGTTCACGTGAGAAACAAAATTCATTCCATTTGTATTAAGCAGAAAATGATTTAACACGAGAAACTGGTTCTTACAAAGTTAGTGGGAAGGCTGAAGGAGTATGCTGCAGCCTGGCTGTCTAAGAATGACACCCTGCGGTGCACAACCAAGCCAAACTGACCAGACCACAGAAGGTGAGAATCATGAGCCCCACAAGGACCTACTGAATTGAAGAGCATCCTCCCACAGTGTGATCCAGAGATGAGGAGACCATTGCTACTCTCATCACAGCTGCCTCTCAGCACCCTCAGAACTAGTGTTGTACCCAAAACTCTGCTGCAGAAACCCAAGGTGTTTTACATGAAGCTTCTCTGCAGCACTAGCCAAATTCTCAGGAAAACTGCCCTGGCCTCATCTCTCCCATCCAAATCTTACACAAAGTATCTAGTATATCTGGTGCAAGTAATTTAATTCTCTGCCAGAACTTTAGCTGCAAGGAAGTTTTAAAAGTATGGGTTTTGCTAAAAAGAGAGTTGCCATATGATCAGTAATCCCACTCTTGGGCACATATGCAGACAAAACTATAATTCAAAAAAGATATATGCACCCCAGTATTCATAGCAGCACTAGTCATGATAGCCAAGCCATGGAAACAACTAAATGTCCATCAGCAGATGAATGGACAAAGAAGATGTTGTGTATTTATTCAGCGGAATATTAGTCAGCCATTAAAAAGAACGAATAATGCCATTTGCAGCAACATAGTTAGATCTAGAGATGATCATACTAAGTGAAGTAAGTCAGAAAGAAAGACAAGTACCATAAAATATCACTTATATGCATAATCTAAAATACAACACAAATGAGCCTATGTCCTTACCTGGAGAATCCCAGGGACGGGGGAGCCTCGTGGGCTACCATCTATAGGGTCGCACAGAGTCTGAAGCGACTGAAGTGACTTAGCAGCAGCAGCAGCAGGAAATAAAAACAGACTCACAGACATAGAGAACAGACTTGTGGTTGCCGAGGGGGTGGAAGGGAAGGGCTGAAGTTGGGGATTAGCAGACACAAACTATTATATATACAGGATGGGTAAGCAACAAGGTCCTACTGCATAGCACAGGAAACTATATTCAGTATCCTGTGATAAACCATAATAAAAAATATGAAAAAGTATATACATATAACTGAGTCACTTTGCTGTAGAGTAGAAATTAAATATAACATTGCAAATCAGCTGTACTTTAAAAACTAAACAATTTTTAGGTGTAGATTTTAGCTTTCCAAGACTCTGAAATTCAGATTGGCCCATTATAAAGGGATCCCAAGTGAAGGTGAATGAGCCGATCCTTTGTATCTCAAAGATCTTATTTTTGTTTTCTTCTTTCCTTTTTGTTACCCATGTGCCTATAATAAAGTTTCATCTAAATATTCCAACTGGACTCACCTGGAATTTAGAAAAGATCTGTGTGAGTGAACTAGGAGCAAAGCCTAAAAAGGGAAACAGGATGGTGGCAACAGGGACTATAGTGACAGCTTCTCAAAGGGAAGTGAGCCTTGCTGAACAAGGGCGGCCACATCCATCTTATAGAGACCCTTCCTCTATGCCAGTGGGGCTCCTGACAGCAGGCGACCACAGCTGGAACTCCACCCCTCACCCCTATTCTGGTGTAGGAAGTTAAGCGAGTTTCTTAACATGGCGAGCCCCAGCTGCCCTGTCCCCAGAAGCCCTGGACTGGACCAGAGCTGCTCTTCCGTCCTTCCCGCCTCTACCACCCATGAGTCCAGGCTCTGTGCTCGTATCAGTGGAATCACCAGCTACGGCTGGCGGGCACGGATGCCTCTACCATCTCCCTTGGTGTTGAATGGCCACGGCCAGGACTAAGGTGACGGAGTAAGGAGCCTAGGGCACAAGTTGAAGGCGGAGCTCACTCTCATGGACCTGGCACGTTCTTCAATTTGGCAACCCCGGTACCTCACTCTCCTCACACCAGACCCAGCCGATAAACGGGTAATCGGAGACGTAGGGCCGCCATTTTGAATAAATAAAATAGGATCACAGAGGACGGGGTGTGAATTGAAGGGTGAAGGCCCTCTTGTCCAAACATTACTCCCATCTCCCCGACTGCCACACTACAGCGGAAGAGCTGGCCACCCACTTGAGCTTGATGCGTTTGGCTAGTGCCAGCTCTTGAATCTCAGCTCCCTATGAGCACTGGCAGTCACCAGCCCGCACGTGGTGGAGAGCAGTCGTCTGAGGGGTGAGCAGTAGGGCAGCCTTCGGCTCCTTAGCGGAGTCCTGTGGGGTAAGAGAGATTCTGAAAGGGATCAAAGACCAAACATGACGCTTCACAGTTGGGGCGATGTCAATGGTCACCTCCCCTCAGTATGGGTTTCCCAGTGGATACGTCCTGATCTAGGATAAGAGAGCAGAAGAAGGCAGATCTCACACAGTTACTGGGAGGACTCCTGACCCCGCATTGCAGGCCAAGGCCAGTGGGCCCTGCAACAGACATTTTTCAGGGTGAAGTTCACCCCTGCCACTCCCAATGGAGGAGAAGCCCTCTGGGGACAGGCCCTCACTCGGCTCTTTTTAAGCTCTGTCTCCAAGGACAAAGTCAGTCCTCCACACTCAGAGCATGAAAGAGAAAACCCCAGACTCCCTCCAACCCTCTCTGCAAAGACATCCACTAGTGTATAACATCAGGTTAAATAGGGGAAGGGAGAAGGGGAGAAAAGTTAATTTAAGGGGAAAATTATTTCTCTTCTCTGTTAATGGAGCCTGTAAATTAGGGCATTTAATTACCTAAGACAATTTGTTCATTTTTGGATGCTAATATTTACATTAGCAACTGCTTTGAAAGCATGAAATCTGGTGAATTGGCAAAACACTTTTACTTTTTTCCCAAATTAATCAAATAAGCTGTGATCAGGCTATTTATAAGTCTAGTTAAGTATATCTCCCTAGTGAGGGCTTTTTTTTCTTCCCACCTCCTTCACACTTTTGAGCTCTCACAGATATTCAGCTTTTCACCTAGATACTTGGTACCAGAGGATCTCAGTGGGAAGGTGTTTGATCTATTTCTATATTTAATGACACATTTCATCATAGCAGAGCAGAGCATTGTGCCACCTTTGTTGAAATTATATTTCAATGACGATCCCCTCCATTTGTATAACCCTGAGAGACTTCCAAGCAGCTCTTACAGAGATGAGCTCACCCCCAACACCCACTGATAAAAGACACCCCCTTCAGATTCTGATATGATGGCTGGTATATTTAATGGGCCGTCCCCCTAAAAAAAAAAGAAAAAAAAAGAAATAGATAAGAAAGGGATGGATCCAGGATGGACAGCTGATACCATCTCCTCTGATACTGGTCATTCTGGTCTTAGACAAACCTCTCACCCCAGCTATTGACCTTGATGCCAGCCTACATTATTCTGATCACTACTCTGGCTCATTCAGTCCTCAAAAGCTCCCCCTCCTCAGTCCAGTAGCATCAAGGGGGATGGCAGAGACATTAGCCCCATTGTCCTCTCTCCCGACTAGTTATTCTGCCAGCTGGGAGGAAACTGGGGTGATCATCTGGTTCAGCCCATTGACATTGGAGGACAAGGCAGCCAGAGCCCAAGATGTTAAGTCTGGAGGGGTGTCATGTAGGAGCATGGAGGGAATTTGATGTGGCCTTGGTGATAGAGTTCTTTGACTTTTATAACCCTTCCTCCAGCCCTAAGAAGACCCACCTTGAGGCAAGACTGTTCATTGTTCTTCCTGGTCCCCAGCACACGGATATAGGGAAAGACTACAGAGGTTGGCTTTGAGAGGAGACTGAATGTTAAGAGGGGTGATGAGGGATGGAAGCAGGGTCACTAGAGTCCCTGACCTGGCCACATGGGATCTCAGTAAAATGTCCTCATTGATTAAAAATAAAAACAAACTGGAAAACCCCCCAATGATCAAAAACTCAAGAGATATGCATGTACTGAGAACCTACTATGTATGTAGACTATTCTACATGTGAGTAAGGAGGTGAAGGAAGCAGGCGCATGACTTGTCCTTAAAACATGACAGTCCCCTTAGGGAGAAGTGTGACAAGTTAGCTAACCAAGTGGGCCCAGACATGGCAAGAGGTACAGAGGGTACATTCTGGGCCAGGGGCCCAGGATGGATTGAGATTCCTTGGGGAAGCAGGTGAATCAGTCAGGATAGGCTGAGTTCTGCTGAGGTCACAAACAACCCTGAACTGTTTGTGTCTCACAATAGCAACAGTTTCTGACTTGTTTCTCTCTCCATGTGGCCAGCTGCACTGCTCCATGGCATCTTCATTCTGAAACCCAGGCTGGGGCATCAGTCTCTGTCTAGGACATTTCTGTTCATGATGGCAACTGGCAAGGGGAGAATTAGCAGATAAAGATTCTGCTTGGACGTGATACTTGTCATTTCTATTCACATATCATAAAGTTCTACACATCATTCCATTCACATTATGACCAAAGCATAATGACACGGTCATTGTCCATGGTCCATGGTCATGGCCACCATCAAATGGGACAGAGGAATACAACCCTGCTCAGGGAAACAGAAGATATTTATGAATAATAATATGATCTCCTACAGCAGAAAAAGCTTCCTGGCAAAGAAACAATGGATGTGGGTCTTGAAAGGTAAATACAATTTAAAGAAGAAGGAAAAGAAAACATTAATTCAGAAAGGCAGCATATTCTAAGTGAGAAGAGTGGGCTCAGGAGGCAGACTGCCCTGGATTAAGCTCTGCTTGCCTCTATTTCCTCATCAGTGATATAGTAATACTCTTAAGACATACTTGATAGGATTGCTGTGAAGCTAAATGAATTTGAACAAATAAATTGAGGGGAAGGACTGAGAGTCCTGACTAAATATATACTAAATATGTACTAAATAAATATATACTAAATATATACTGAATGTATACTAAATAAATAATATACTAAATATGTAAAAATATATACATTTATATACTAGTATATAAATATATACTAAATAAATATACTAAATATATACTAAAATATATACTAAATAAATACTAAATATACATTAAATAAATATTATTATTATTATTTCAGATTTTATATTAGCCCAAAGTAATGAAGATTTAAGATGTGTTTGGAGAACAATGCAGTGGAAAATATTTTTACAGGTGCAAAAGAGTTATGTTAAGATGAAACTAGCAGACAAGCCTAAGAGTAGGGTACAGTGGAGCCCAATTGTGGAGAACCATGGATGCCAAGTTGGGAGGCTTGGACTTGATGATCTATGAATGTATGCATCAAAGAGCCCTTCTCAGTGGTCACTTGGAAAAATTATAGTGGTTCCCATTAAAGCCAGACCACCCTTCTGTTGCCACAAGGAAATGGCAATCTAAGTCGCAGTGGCATGGTGCCATAATGTGTCCCAATTCGATCTCAGTCTGGCTGGGTGACCCTGGACATGTTCTTTCACATCTCTGAGTCCTAAACCTCCTCTCCAGTGAAAGGAGAGGTGGACTCGAGGGTCTGCAGGGACACTTCTGGTTCCCTATCAGCTGTCCCATCAGTCATCTGACCTTGATGCTCTACTCTTCCTCCCAATCCACATTGGGCCCAGGGTTTTCAAATGCTCCCTAACAACTCAGCCTTTCTCACTCCCTCCCAATCCCTCAGACAACTCAGTCTTCTTGTTTCCCAGGAAACCCCATTTTGCCAATGGCACCCAGAGCTCAAAAATGCAACCCAAGCAGTCCAAGTGAGCCGCATCCCCATCTCCACCCAGCGGAGCACGGAGGAGCCGGCCGGTATTTAATTAGTTTGCAATATTACATATCTTTTAAATCTTTTAATCCATTTAATAAAAAAAGTTAAAACACACACACGACTAACCAACTAACAATGGCCCCAATTTGTGTTTTGTCTGACGGGGAGTAATATTCATGTCTACATGAGGATGGCATGTAATTAACATGTCATAATCAAAATGACTAAGTTTGACACATTATAATCACTGCATGGAGATTATAGCATAGCCAGGGGCGATCCACACAGCCTATCTTAATATCATTTGCATAATGAAAGCATGGTGGCAGTAATAGCTTTTTTCTCTTGTTATCATAATTTCACCCAGGGCTGCAAGGGGCTCCCGCACTGTCAGATGTTGCCTGTTTAAAGTCATTGTGACTTGGAGGAAGGCAGCAAAAGTGACCCAGAGGCTTCCTCTTGGAACAATAGCTCAACGGCTGGCCCCTAATGAGCAGAGTGGGGTAATACAGGGGATGTGCCCCCAGAAACATCTCCTGTGAACCCATGCCCAGCAGACATCTGGACAATCTGCTTTCCCCAGGCCCCTTGCTTGCAGTGGATTTGAGATAGCCTTCTGATGGACAGCAAGCACTGAAATCCTTAGACTCCAGGCAAATGTGACCAGATGTGCATATCACCCAAAACAGATCCCTTGCAGGCTGACAGTTGCCTAAATGGGGTACCTGGCCACTGGGGCCATGATGTAGACCATGGGGTCAAAGTCATGGGTTGAAGAGTCATATAAGCCAACCAACCAGCCTCCCCTTCAAGCCCACAGACTGCACCTCCAACCTGTGTGAACGTCTCATGGAACCAGTTGGCTGGAGAGAGTGAGGGGATGTTCATTCACATATCCTCTCTTCCCTTAATTTGCACAGGTCCCAGTTAAACCTACTATCCCTAACTTACCAAAGCACTTTGAACAATGATTACAGTTTAGTCTCAGAGACTCATATTCCTTAGGACAGGAAGAAATTTTGATTAGAATCTAGATTTTTAAATCATAAACCCCCAGAAAGTTAAAGCATAAAAAAATAAGCACACTTACCTCTAACAAACAGAAAAAGGAAAATAACAACTTTCCAGTGGACAAATCTGGCAGATATCACCCCCAACTAAGTGATGATGTTTATCATCATCAGTGATAATGCATGTTGATATTAAGTACCCCTGATGTCATATTATGAAAAGGGTGCTTCACCTTTTTTCCCAAATTCAAAACCCCAGGCTGATCATGAGAAAACAGAAAAATCCACATGGAGGGGCATTCCTCAAAATAGATGACCAGAACCATTCAAAACTATCAAGGTCATGGGGGGAAAAAAGGAATTGTCATAGAGCAGAGGACACCAAGAGGATAGAATGGCTACATATACCGTAGTATCTTGATTGAGTCCTACATCCAAGAAAGATTGTATAAAAACTAGAAAGATTCAGATGAAGTGTACAGTTTATACTACCATACAAATATTAATTTCTCAGTTTTGATAAGTGTACCTTAGTTACATAAAATGTCAACATTAGGTCAAACTGGATGAAGGGGATCAGGGAGCTCTATGTACTCTCTTGGCAACATTTTAAATTATTTAGACTTTAAGAAAATAAATGTTTTAAAAATATATTTGCAAAATTTCACAAAAATTTCTGAAACCACAGAATTCTCACAAGCTTTTGGCAAACAGCCACAGAATTCCATCATTCTTCTCAACCTCAGTTGCCCATGATTTGGCAAATTCTGCCCTCTGGGCTGAAAAGATGCTTGTGATGCCAACTCTAAGTACGTCTTGGGTTGTATATGAGACTGTGAGAAAGAATCTGCATCTATTATTGTCAACCACCCCAAAATATGGAGGTTACTCTTGCCATGGAAGCCTGCTAACCAAGCAGCAAATGATCTTGTTTCCCACCTGTCTTGTTGATCCAGTTCACAGCGCCAACTGTCTTTTTTTTTTTTTTAATTTATTTTTATTAGTTGGAGGCTAATTACTTTACAATATTGTAGTGGTTTTTGTCATACATTGACATGAATCAGCCATGGATTTACATGTATTCCCCATCCCGATCCCCCCTCCCACCTCCCTCTCCACCCGATCCCTCTGGGTCTTCCCAGTGCACCAGGCCCGAGCACTTGTCTCATGCATCCAACCTGGGCTGGTGATCTGTTTCACCCTAGATAATATACATGTTTCGATGCTGTTCTCTTGAAACATCCCACCCTCGCCTTCTCCCACAGAGTCCAAAAGTCTGTTCTATACATCTGTGTCTCTTTTTCTGTTTTGCATATAGGGTTATCGTTACCATCTTTCTAAATTCCATATATATGTGTTAGTATACTGTAATGGTCTTTATCTTTCTGGCTTACTTCGCTCTGTATAATGGGCTCCAGTTTCATCCATCTCATTAGAACTGATTCAAATGAATTCTTTTTAATGGCTGAGTAATATTCCATGGTGTATATGTACCACAGCTTCCTCATCCATTCGTCTGCTGATGGGCATCTAGGTTGCTTCCATGTCCTGGCTATTATAAACAGTGCTGCGATGAACATTGGGGTGCACGTGTCTCTTTCAGATCTGGTTTCCTCGGTGTGTATGCCCAGAAGTGGGATTGCTGGGTCATATGGCAGTTCTATTTCCAGTTTTTTAAGAAATCTCCACACTGTTCTCCATAGTGGCTGTACTAGTTTGCATTCCCACCAACAGTGTAAGAGGGTTCCCTTTTCTCCACACCCTCTCCAGCATTTATTGCTTGTAGACTTTTGGATAGCAGCCATCCTGACTGGCGTGTAATGGTACCTCATTGTGGTTTTGATTTGCATTTCTCTGATAATGAGTGATGTTGAGCATCTTTTCATGTGTTTGTTAGCCATCTGTATATCTTCTTTGGAGAAATGCCTGTTTAGTTCTTTGGCCCATTTTTTGATTGGGTCGTTTATTTTTCTGGTATTGAGTTGCATGTTCAGTTCAGTTCAGCCGCTCAGTCGTGTCCGACTCTTTGTGACCCCAACCGCAGCACGCCAGGACTCCCTGTCCATCACCAGCTCCCGAAGTCCACCCAAACCTGTATCCACTGAGCTGGTGATGCCATCCATCCAGCTCATCCTCTGTAGTCCCCTTCTTTTCCATTGAGCTGCATGAGCTACTTGTATATTTTTGAGATTAATTCTTTGTCAGTTGCTTTATTTGCTAATATTTTCTCCCATTCTGAAGGCTGTCTTTTCACCTTGCTTATAGTTTCCCACCTCCCAGAATATTGGAAATAAAAGCAAAAATAAACAAATGGGACCTAATTAAACTTAAAAGCTTCCGCCAGTTGTCTTGACTGTATCTTACTGCGCACTGTTCGCTGGGCCCAGGTAGGGGAGGTGTGAGCTAAGAGGCTGGAAGTGAGAGGAGCCGTAGGAGCAGCAGCTGCACTTATTCTCTGCTGGCTAGCTCAGTGGCTGCAGCAGACATCACACCGCAGCAACCCGCACGCAGCCAGCAGGGCTTCTCCTGGTGGAGCTTACATGTGCTTACGGAAGGAAAGTAGCCGGTCGCCAAGCAAGTACCCTGTGATGCATGTGTGCAGAGCTATAAGTGATCTCAACTATTACAAGGCCGTGCAACGTCATTGTTTATAGGAACATGGAGCTAGAGGGCATGAGAGTTTGGGGTGAGAGAGCCTGACCAGGGCCATCTTGTTAGTTTTCCCACATCACCTCGTCTGTTCCATCATAAAGCCATGATGAAGAAAGAGCCTTTAACAAGATATCACAACAGAGCAGGAAGGCACTCTGGAGCTCATAGAGCTGAATCTCCAGTTTTGGATAAGGGTACTGAGGCTTAGAGAACTCGGGCGATTGCCTGGTGTCCCACAGCAGGTCAGCACAGAGTTGACACCAGGATACAGCTTTTCAAATTCCCAGCCCAGGGGTCAGAGTAAAAGCTCATGTCCAGTTGCAGGGACTAAAAGGTGACGTCCTGGCCATCCACACATCTCCTGAGCGGTAGGGGCCAGCAGCCCACTAGGAAGCCATCAGGACACCCATGCCAGTCTCATCCTTCCTTGTGCCCCATGTGAGCCCCTCTCCACACTGATGGCCTCTTCCACTGGCTCCACTTTCCCTGGCATCTGCAAGAGGATCCCCTGCACCCACCCAGAGATGTGCTTTCTGGATGTGGCCAGATGCTATTCACATGGCCCCGGAGCTAAGAGCTTTGTTGCCAAGTCGGGGCTGTTTGCGCCCTGCCAACCCCCTTCTCTTATTTTCAGAGCTTGTCATTCACAGCTGCCTGCCAGTCATCCGGGTCCTGGGAAGGAAATGAGGCCGAGGAACTCAGGCGCAAAGCCCCCCACAGCGAGGGAAATGTTGACTCACAGCCAATGCATTTTAACATAGGGAAACTCCCAGGAAAGCCAGAGGGCTGTGCCTGGGCTCCTGAGAGCACTGTTTTCCGTTCTTCTGCAGGCCTGGAATTAATGCCTTGGTTCCCTCCTGGGCCAGGAGACTGCAGGAACCTCCCCACTATGATGGGCAGCCCTTTCACCAACCACCAACCACAGGACCGTTGCTCCCTGGTTAAATTTCACAAGTATCTTCTCATCAGGAAGTCCTTAGAGTTGGCAATATTATTTGAAAATCATTAAGAAGGCCCCTCCCCTCAGAAATATCTCCCACCACCCTTTTTCCTTGTGCCTGAGATTCCTTCATTTGATGTGGATTTCTCTGAGTTCAGAAAAGGTTTTGTTTTTTTAATCTTCTCTCTAGCGTTGGTTGCAAGGGACAGAATCCTCTCAAATTTCCCTGAGTAAAATGGAGATGGAGCGCTAACTTCTGAAGGAGGCAGACACCAAGAGCTGCATGGCCCCATAAAGACCACCGCTTCCTCTCTAAGCTTTGCCAAACCCTAGACTAAACTGGTACATCCTTTATTCATTCCCAGCTCTATTTAACTTCTTCTCACATACCTTCATTGGTAAAGAATCCACCTATAATGTAGGAGACACCAGTTCGATT